CCGTAAAAAGTGGAAATGCTGGAACATATCGCGGCATATACGTTCATATCCTGAATTCGCCTCATTTTTAGAGCACCGCAAGTAACAAAATATTTCGAAATAACTATAGTAACAAGCACAAAAATTACCAGTAACTTCACGCAGTGCAGCGGTGGTGTTTGGTATTCGAACGCCATCATAAAGTGCTGTTTCGGAGCACTTAACAGACATCCAGTCAATGACACAGTCGTAATCATCATCCTCTTAAAATAGCATCACCAGTATAACTATCTTCAGCATTTTTTGCACATACCAGATATAAACCGTCTTCGCCATTCAGCTAAGTTTTTTCCAGCAGTTATACACAAACCGCGAAGGTATTATGAAAAAGGAAATCATGGAAATCATAATAACTAAAAATCGTAATTTAGATGATGCGGGCCCGATTACAGCAGTGAAACAACGAAGATCAGTGCCACTGTTTAAGCAAGAAAAACACATGCATAAACGACTATCCCAATATATAGGGGAACTGTGCAGCCCCGAAGTGATTTCATTAATTATGTCAATACATAAACTGCGAGTACTAAGAAAAGTAAAAAACCAAAAATTAAGGGAAATTACCAAGTATGTTGCCGATCTTAGAATTGCTGAAATCGTCAATCGTAGATGATAAATGAAATCGATTAATGATTCGAATCCGAGGAGTTTCAGCAATAATAGTTTGATTTGAGAGTTGATTGAGCGGCAGCACAACAACTGACGGACAGTTGATCAGACAGTCTAATTTTATTCGAGCTCGCCGGTCATCCTTCTAAAATTTCATCCCAGTTTAAAACTTCATTAGTTTTCAACAAATTTTCCGACAAAAATTATCTTTAAAGATCATATCACAAAATTTATTTCAAAAAATACCCACGAATGCCATTGACAAAAGATATAAGAGCAGTTGGGATCACCCAAAAAACAACGGAGGAGGAACAGTGCTGACGACCGCACGATCAGCTGTTGTTTCATTGTCGCATTTTTTATTGCCACCGAATCAGCTGACAACTTCGCCATTCTTTTCTATTTCCGACCCTGCTCATCCATATAAAAGCGTTCAAGCGCTAACAGCTTTTCGCGAATTCATTTAACACTACGCAGGCACCCGCTTTTCCACACGTTATTCTGCTAAATGAATACCCAGCTCTTACTCTTGTTGTGTACTGCCATGTTGTCTTGGGACTTCGTTGAAAATGCGCTGTAACTTATGACATTCCATACCTCAATGAATCACAGCTGGTTTTTGTGTGTTTTTTGCATCTATGCAGTGCAAAAAGGCATATAATGTCGAGGGGACGTCTGTGCATGTATGTCTCTGTGTGTGGGTTTGCACCGATTATTCATCTCGAGATCTACAAAAGCTATAGGGCTGGAACTTTGACTTTGGAAACTTAATCTATACGCATGTACGGCCCTTATCCTCGAAGCGGACTCCTGCCCATGCGGTTCCAACAATACAGGTCCGTGACAATTTTTGACTGGTAAGTTGCTAATTCGGGAACCAAAAAAAAGCTAAAAAGCTAAAAACTTAGGGGGATGTTTCCCCGTTTGCACAGAACTTAGTGACTTGAAATTCAGCCCCCAGGCATGTGTGGTCCTCACATACTCCGGTAAGTTGTAAATCGAGAACCAGAGAAGCAAGAAAGCTGAAATTTTAAAGGGATGTTTTCTGACAGTACTGGTGGCCAATATCTCATTTCTTTTAGAGAGACGCATCGACTGGTAAAAAACAGTGCCGCTAGTGACAAAAACCTGCGGGGAACTGTGTAAAAAACGCATCTTCACACCGGCAGCCGGTGCGCTAGCCAATTATTTTTCTGAGCAAGTGTGATATCCCATGTTTCACTTCTACAGAGCAGAACTGATAGCACAAACAAACCGAAACGTGCCGTTTCCACAGCCAATGATAACAAAAGTATTGCAAGAAACGTCTCGCAACTAAATCCCGCAATTTTAAATATCTTTGCCCACATCCAACACAAAACATATTCATCTAATGTAACCGTACCATCATTCTCTTTCTCGTTGTAGCATTCGCATTTTCCCACCGATGTTGCTTCATCCAAATACCAACGTTGTAAAAGTTTTACAAGCAAACATTTTGTTTGGTGCTATTTCTAACATTTCAAAATTCATAGAAAAAATGAAGCTTACAAGAACAGCTTTTGTCGAAGCATTGCTGCGAAGAATGATTTTGTGCAGTTCGAAGAACTGCTGCCAAAAATCGAGTACTGCAATAAAATAACGATGCGTGTGAATATATGCGATACTCATCGACTGTGGAACACGAACCACAACACCCACATCATAGCCCCTAGTCACCGCTGACTTTTCGCTCAAACACCTAAAAAAGCATGTTATACGATTATGAAAATCCTGAAAGTATTCCAGGCGTCATGGACTTTTAAAATTTGATTTTTACCATCACAGCTTTGAAACGGCGTCTTAAGCAAAAATGAGACAACACAAACTTCCAATAATCTTATTTTTTGGTGGCAATTAAAAAGCAGAAATCCCTTTCCCATATT